GAACTTGTGTAAATTGAACTGACCGAGCAAAGTTGCAAACCAATATTCAGCAGCAGGAAGAGGAAGGACATGCAGAGTGATAAAAGATTTGGCCTTCCAAAGCTTCAAGTAGATCTAATTTCTTGCACGTCTTCATCATCATTAGCATCACCATTTTTTTCTTCGTTTGCACCTCCATCATCTGTAAACAACCCAACTTCCATCTCAAGTTCATCAAGTGAGAGATTTGCAACCTCAAGCATCCCAACATCATCATATGAATCAAATGTGTCGCCCGCAATATCCCATAACTTGTGTAAAAATTGATGTATATTATTGATTGATGTATTGATATATATTACAATGATTCATGATTCCTATATATAGAAGAGAGTGAGTGTGTAGTAGGTGAGGAGTAGGTGAGGAGTAAGTGGAGAGTAGGTGAAGTAGGTGAGTGTGTAGTAGGTGGTAGTGGTAGGTGTGTAGTAGGTGGATTTTAACAGCCCCCCGCAAACTAATACCTAATATATGTAGGAATATATACCATATATACATTAACATCCCCCCCTTAAACTTAAGGAGGATAAACATCTTGAGTTTGGAGAGAGAAACAAAAATATAAAATAAAACTAAATAAAATAAAAAGCAAATAGATTGCAAAATCCGAACGGTAGTGCAAGGGCACTTGAAATAGGTCAGAGACCGGAACTAATGCCGGGAGACAGTTTATGGCTGTGTCGAACCATTGTAGGAACTGGTTGAAACTAATGCCAGGACAATTTACGTCATGCCGGACTGATATAGAAACAAGCTGGAACTAATGTCGAGAGACAGTTTATGGTCGTGTTGGACCATTGTAGGAACTAGCTGGAATTAATATTAGGACAGTTTAAAAAGGTCATGCCGGACTGATGTAGGAGTTAACTGGAATCAATGTCGGGACAGTTTAAAGGGGTCATGCCGGACCGATGTAGGAGCTAACCGGAATTAATGTCGAGACAGTTTAAATGGGTCATACTAGACCGATGTAGAAGCTAACCGGAATTAATGTCGGGACAGTTTAAAGGGGTCATGTCGGACAGATGTAAAAGCTAATCGGAATCAATGTCGGGAATAATTTACGAGGGTCATGTCGGACCGATGTAGAGAACTGGATGTTGAACTAACAAGCGTGGCACACACATAACTTATGACGTGGTGTTGAACGATGATGGCAACAGATAACTGAGTACGCCAGAAGGCGGCTTGGATTGTGCACCAGGGGACGACTTTGGTGGTGCGCTAGAGGAAACGGCTTGGATTGTGCGCCAGAAAGGAGCATCTTCGGTTGAGAGTCTTGTCGGACCCATAAAAAGTCGCACCCTCAAAAGGAGTGCCCAATCTTTCAAAAAGGCGTGCCATCAAAAGGCGTGCCATCAAAAAGAGCGCCCATATCATAAAAAGGTGTGCCGGACATGATGGCGAGGCGCGTCACCACATTGGCTTGCGCGCCCGTTTTGTCGTCTGGCATCAAGTGGCGCGCGATGCGCGTGTCTGCCTCGGCTATTTAACCAATACGGATGCCGAAGCTGAGGCAGAGGCTAAGACAAAAAACTGGCTAAAAACCTCTGAGAAACTCTTCGTTGTCTTGAGAGAGATACTCTGTAACACTCTGTAACCAATCCTTCTCTGAAAGTACCAGTCGGAAACACTCAGCAACCCAAAAACATGGCCTCGTCTTCCCGTTCAGCTACCCAGAATATGGCATCTTCGTCCCGTGGTCTGCTCACGCTCTTTCCAGACCTGAACGAGTCCACAAGAGAAATTACTGGGGCGGTGGCCAGTGAACCTCAACCAAACACCTCTGGTTTTGCTCCGTTGAACTTTCCGATGCGGTCTGTGGAGCAAAAAATGGCGGTGCAAACGGATATTGAAGCCAATCAGTATACATTGAAGTCATGTGTGGAAACCATGACTGCGGTCACAAACTTGTCGCACCGGCTGCAGAGTAGGACAAATGAGGTGCAGCAGTTAAACGCCCAACTGGCTCTGCTCCAACGCATGTATAAGGATGCGCGAGCAGAGATAAGTGTGCTAAAGGCGGAAAATAAGGAGCTGAAGCGGAAGGCCACCGTGATGTTCCGATTTGGAGGGCCGCCATATGCTGCAGTGGAGGAGCAGGAGCTGAAGCGGAAGGCCACCGTGATGTTCCGATTTGGAGGGACACCATATGCTGCAGTGGAGCAGTATGGGGGAGTGAACGTGCTCGGTGGACAAGAAAACACGGAGGCTGCACCGTCAAGGACCGCCCAGGACGGAGGCAAGAAGAAGAGACCGGTGGCAGAGTAGAGAAGAAAAAATTCCGCCTGTAGATGTGGTTGTTTTGTTGTTGTTGTTGTTTTTTTTTTTTTTTTTTGAGTGTAAAATTGTGATCGGGGTTGATTCCCTGATATGAATAAAATGACAAGGTTGTAGAATGTTGTTGGTGTTATGTTGTGTTGTTGTTTTGTTTAATAATAAAAATAAAAGAAAATAAAACAATGGATAAAGAAAATAGATAAAAATATTTGTGGATGGGTGATAAGAAAAACATCGGTGTGATTTTTTTATTTTTTATTGTTTTTTTTATTTATTTTTATTTTATTTTATTTTTTTATTTTTTTTTTTTTTTTTTTTTTGTGGAAGATAAAAAAAAATAATAATAAGATAATGGAAAAAAAAAACGGGTGATGCTCTCACTAACAATGGTAGGGATAGGAGAAATATATTATAATAAAATATATATATATATATATATTAAAATAAAAGAAAAGGGTGAAATAACGTGGGTGGAATAAATTAAGAGAAATGAGGGATATGATTAAAGTGGGTTTGAAAGTGTGAAAAGATGAGAGAGAGAGTGGGGTACATGATGAAGAGAGAGGGATGTCATGTGTGTGTATGGGGCAGTGTGTTGAGTGTGTGCCCATGTGCATAGGTCTGCCGACGAGATGGAGGTGGAAGAAGCCATGTGATTCTCTTGATGTAGGAGCTTTTGATGGAGCAGAAACAGTTGATTTTCCGTTATAGCTCTATTAGTCTATGAGGATGATATAATAGTAATATGAGATGACTTGCAAGGAATGGAGGCGTTGAAAAAGTGTTTATTGCAAGAGTTTGAGGTCAAAGAACTCAACAGGTTAAAATACTTCCTCGACATTGGGGGTGTTTGTTTCAGCTTTTCAGAGCCAACTTATGGCTTTTAGCTTTAAAAAAGTTATTTTGGACTGTTTGGTTAAACTTATTTCAAACAGCTTCTGATTCTAACAGCTTATTTTAACTCAAAAAAGTTGATTCTAAGAAGCTGCTCAACCCTTGCTTTTGATTTTCAGTTTTTGCTGTGAACATGTTAATTTATGGTTATACTCTTAAATTTTTTTATTTTTTATTTTTTTAAAAATAGAAAAAGACTCAAATGTACTATAGATTATTATTATTATTTTTTATGAGAAATGTAGACAAACAAAAAATAAAAATTAATTGAAAAAGCTATTTCGTAGCTTATTTAACAAACACTACTTAGCAACTTAAATTTATAATCCAACAGCTACACCAAACAGATTAACAACTTCTGATTAAAGTCATAATCTATAATCTGTTAAGCTATAATCTGTAGAAATTTAATGTATAAAGATAAATGATTGTATTATTGATTGTTATATGTTATATATATTACAATGATTCATGATTCCTATATATAGAAGAGGGTGAGTGTGTAGTAGGTAAGGAGTAGGTGAAGTGGAGGTGGTAGTGGTGTAGTGGGTTAGGTTTAGTGGAGTAGGTGATGTGGTAGTGGTGTAGTGGGTTAGGTTTAGTGGAGTAGGTTTAAGTGGGGTGAAGTAGGTGATAGGTTTTAACAGCCCCCCGCAAACTCAAGGGGGATAGGAACTAGCCAACTTGAGTTTGGAGAGAGTAACAAAAGGGTTAGGTTTAGTGGAGTAGGTGAGGTGGTAGTGTTGTAGTGGGTTAGGTTTAGTGGAGTAGGTTTAAGTGGGTGAAGTAGGTGATAGGTTTTAACATAATCTATAAGCTGTTTTAACAGCTATACCAAACGGGGCCATTGAAGTGGCTCACTCTCAACATGGGATCTTTATATCCTAACAGAAGTATGTATTGGATTTATTAAATGAGACTGGGAAACTAGGGTGTAAACTAGTGGAGACATCCATTGAACAAAATAACAAGCTTTGTGAAGCTCTTGAAAATGCGGTGGTGGATAGAGAATCCTATCAGAGATTAGTTGGCAAACTAATCTATCTTTCTCATACCAAAACAGACAGCCTATGTTGTAGGAGTAGTGAGTCGATTTATGCACAGCCTAAAAGAAGTACATCTTCAAGTAGCACATCGAATTCCAAGAAAGGGAGTATTATTTAGAAGAGGCAATGAATTAACATTGGAAGCATACACAGATGCAAATTATGTAGGAGTAGTTGCAAAATCAAGCACAGAAGTTGAGTTCAGAGCTATAGCATTGGGAGTTTGTGAGCTTCTATGGCTGAAAATAATTTTGGAAGACTGAAGATTGCGTGGAAAGGACTACTGAAGCTATATTGTGATAACAAGTCAGCAATTAATATTTCACATAACCCTGTGCAACATGAACACGCCAAGCATGTGAAAGTGGACAAGCATTTTATAAAGGAGAAGTTGGAAAGCGGACTGATTTGTGCCCCATTTGTGTCAACCGAGGGTCAACTTGTAGATGTGTTAACTAAAGGATTGAATGGTTCTGCGTTTCAGTCTATCGTTAGCAAACTAGGAATGGAGAATATCCACTCACTAGCTTGAGGGGGAGTGTTAGAATCGGAAATTATGGTATGAATAGGCTGGGAAAATTTGATAACTCAGTAGATGGGAAAAATGTGTGTTACGGAAGTGTATATGTTTGTGTATATGTCCTGTATTATAATGTTAATATCCTTGATTTATAGGGATTAGGTCTTAGGAGAGTTTCCTTTTATACCTTATTAAATCATTAGTTGCAGACAAACGTCACATACCTGACCTCCCAGGTCCCAGAACACTAGCTTTGTATTTGAGATTTCAATACGCCCAATGTTTAGCCCCACAGTCGGCACAATTCTATCAGGAGGAAGACCTTCCAAGTTTGAGTATTGTGCTTTCAACTTCTCCAGTAAAGTCTACAAATGCCGGGACATAGAAAAATGAGTAGAGACAAATCTTTCAGAAGGCATGTTCAATCTGAAAATAGTTGTTTGTGCCTGCACACGTGTGCTAGCATGCATTTGTGTCTATATCCATAGCGGAAGACTTGGGGTGATACATATACAACAATATTTATATGCAGAGAGACACAAGGCTTTTGGTGATCCTTTAATTTTGAACCAAGACCTATATATTACATATAGCAGAACTTGAAATTGAATTGCAATCCCAACACTTACATGTCAAATAGCACAAAGACAAGGACTTAACATACCTTGTTAAAGAAGACAAGATTTCTAGTTTCTACCAATTCTTCTCAAGACATAAGCATGCAAAAGCAACTTCCTATTTCACAAAATATAATGACATGACATACAATCAATATTACTATTTTTATGTGTGATTTTGTTAATATGTTTCAATTAGATAAATCAATATTTCTTTTAAAAAATACAAACTAAAGGACCACATGCCATGCTCTTATGCAATACAAATTATACAATATTAATAGTGGTACCGTACAACAATGGCGGAAATGAAATTGTTCAACAGTGTTGTGGAGGCCATAGAGTGTAAATAAAGTCGCCGTGTGCATTGGCTAGCACTAGCAGAAAAGGGTAGTGTTTCTTAAGGTTGTGGTGGTGGCAACAGTGCGGAGGTGCAGTGTTTCTATAGTTTTATCTTCAGTAATTAAACATACTCAAAAAGCTTAACCATATAATCAAATTGTAGATATTGTTGATTCGCTTGACTAATACTTGTAAGAATCATGGGCCTTTTTTCTTCTTTTTTTGAGTGTGTATAATAGGCCTTGATGTTGAGAGGTAACGATTATCTTGGATTAACCTTTTTTGTGCATGAGTGGCATCCTCTTTTGATGCTTTTTTATAATATTGACTTATCAAAATAATAAATAAACTAATCGCAAGGCAGAATATCTTGTTAAAGTCTTGAGGGAAGCAGAGGTACAACATAATAAGGTATATTTGCTGAAGGGACTAAAGTACAGGTGACTAGAGTGAAACTGGCAAGTTCTCCTACCCAACTCTCTTTGTCACAATTGCTCATGTATAAATTATGCACAATTTCTGTAATTTTAAAATTAAAAAAAAAGAAAAGAAAAAAGAGTGGCAATTAATTTGTCAAATAAAAATCATTAACATTTATGGGAACAGATGAAGAGCGAAGACAGAAACTATATGATGATATCCATTTGGTTAAGTCAGAGGCACAATAAGTGGTTAAATAGAAGATTCATCTCCGCAGTCTGGAATCAATAATAATTAACATTTCAAACATTAGACAAAAGGAGAAAGATGAACATAGGAATGGATTAAAAACCAGAAAGGAAATTAATTACAGCAGATTCTCCATGCTCAACTGAGCTGAGGATGTAATGAAACAGCGAAAGAAGAGTAGTAAACATATTACTGTTTTCCCAGCCTTGTCAATTCCAAGAATAAGAACATGAAACTCTGTCTTACTGAATATATACTTCCAAAGTCCAAAAAACAAAGAAAACATCTCTGTTTGGTTTTTATCTTCTCTATTATTTGCTCTTTGTAGCCTTCAAGAGGAAAAAGAAAGGACTTCACATTGTCTTGCTAGATTTCTCTCAAGCTCATCAAATATTCTGAAACAAACAAAAGAAATGATCAACATTAAAGGCAAACAGAGTACAGGGCACTTCCATCTAAAATGAAGAAAAAAGAAAAACAGAAAAGCTTGTTCAAATTAAACTGCTGCGACTTTTCTCTCTAATGGGTCATAGTTCAAGCATCTTTTACAATTTTAAAGGTTCAATAGAATCATAAAATCCATTCCAACATCACAATTTCGTGACTAGTATCTAATTTTAATGCATTCCCAGTAAGCACCGTATAGAAAAGTAGAACAAATACATGATGTGTGTGGCTTTCAACTTTCAAATGTGATCAAAACTATAAACAAACAAGTCGAGTCAAGCCAAGGAGTGATGGTCTAAATTTACTAGCGATGGTCTTTTTTTAATTAGGGTTGTCAACAAGTAGAGTCAAGCCGAGTAGTAGGTTGTTCAAGTTTAGCTTGAGAACTAAACAAGCTTCAAAATGTATTCTACCTTTTGAGTTGATCTCCAATGAGCTTTAATAGAGCCAAGCTCAAGTAGCTTGGATTTTTTATTTTATTTTTTAAATTTTAGTGCATATAAGCTATTCGAGTTGAGTAGTAGGTTGTTCAAGCTTAATTTGTTTACATAATGAATCGATCTCCAATGAACTTTTAACAAGCCAAACACAAGTAGAACTCGAGCAGCTTCGTTCAATTTACAGCTCTATTTTTAATGAATGCCAATTAATTAGCCAATTTTCAATAGTGAAAAACAGAAGTATGAAGTAGTTAGTACATAGTAGAAGAGCCATTAATAGAGAGAGATGCAAGAACTAATGGCATCACAATTCCAATGTACTGTGTTGCCTTAACCACGCAGCATGACCGATCCACTAAATAACACTTTCATTTCGTAGCTCCAAACCAATCACCCTGTTTGGTTTCGTTTTCAAAATCTATTTTCTATTTTTTGTTAAAAATTTAGAAATTAGTTGGATAAAAATAACCAACAAAAAATTATTTTCAACATTTATTTTTGTCCCAAAAAAGAGAAAACCGTATGAAAATCACTTCTTTTTTTTTTGCCTTCTATTTTTTTCACCAAACTGGTTTTTGTATTTTTTTTTTTTTTTTGAAAGTGAGGGAAAACAGCATCTCAAAACAACAATTCATTGACACTATAAATAATCAACACACAATCACAATGAATTCTGAATAAATGAATTAAAAAAAAAAAAGGATAAATCAGGAAAGTAGACATGATGGAGAAATCAGCAAATAATTACATGGAAGGATTTTGATCTACGATCCTAACATCACGAAATCAATAATCATCTAAACTGGAATAACTGTGAAAGACCCAGATCAAGAGAGAACCTAGAGATTGAAACGATAATTGAATTGCGTTCAAGAAAGTAAACAATTATCAAATAAAGGAGATTCGTACTCTGCGAGCAAAAGGGTGCGAATGGTTATTGAATGAGTTCAAATTCTTTTGCTTTGCGCTACAACTGGAGCTCCTGAGCCTGAGCAGTGAAATTTTCTTTGCGTTTCTTGACCGCTTTCCCTCTTTTAGATAAATTACTTTTAACAAAATACAGCAAACCCACAAGTTCTATATAATTATAATTATAAGGTTTTATACAACTATAATTATAATAATAAGGTTTTATATAATTATAATTATAAGGTAATG